TCTGTCTCTCTCTCTCTCTCTCTCTGGGACCAAAAAAAGGAGTTATTCGTAACAGAGTACCGCTTGATGCTGGCCGACAAGCTGGTCGGCAACCTGTCGTACGACACCGACAAGGAGGTTCAGAACCTCGAGCTGCTCAAGCTACGCTTCGGGGAGACCAGCATGCACCACTGCGAGATCATGGTGAGTCGCTGATGATTGCCGTCCTTCTGTAGTAGTCATTTTTTTTTTCTTCTTGTGGGCGTTCTTGTGGTCACTGCTGTGTGTGCGCTGCTGTTTGTGTTGTTGATGGCGGTGTTTGTGTGTGTCGTCGTCGTCGTGGTCAGTGGGAGGTGTTTATTGTGGATGGCGGTGGGCCGGGGTGTCGGTGGTGGTTGCGTAAGGGTGTTGGTTGCTGCGGCGGCGGAGGCGGCGTTATGCTCCTTCTTTTGAGTGTTGCTGTGGCGTAATGGTGATGGCGGTACTGTTGCTGGTGATGCTGGTGGTGGTGGCGGTGCTGCTGCCCTTGCGCACTTCCATGCTGGTCATGAACCGATGCTCTCTCTAGCAGCTGGTGCTTTTCGCCAACCAGCTGTTGATGGGGATGCATGTATTTTTTCGCGTTCAAGTCGTCGTCGCCGGTTGTGTGTGAACCTTGGTTGGTACCATCGCTTCGTCGTTTGCCCACCCCTCTGCCGAACACAAGGTGCGGGACCTTGAAGAATCGAAGCGAGTTAACGCCAACGTGCAGGACCGACTCGCCCAACGGCAGACCGGCGAGGCTCAGAAGGAGGATGCCCGGTAAGCTATGCACCACACGGTTAGCGGTACCACTACATCCTCAATCGTCGTTTGTGTATTTTTAGCACCATGCTGCTGAACCCGCGTTGTTTTACGGTGGCCGTGTGTGTTCGCTTGCGGGGGCCCCCGTCGACGTGTACGCGGCCTAAAACAACGTCGCAGGGGCGGTGAATGTGTGTGTGGGTGCAGTGTAGTATTGATTTTGGTGTTGCCGGCGCCTTAGGTCGACACTGCCCCTGCCATGTCGCTGTAGTAGGCATGGAAGTAGACTGCTGTACTCAAGTTATGCTTTCTGCTGTGATGCAGGCTTTATACAGGGACCACGACCGCAGTCTAGTCCTGTAGCTCACAAGATCAAGATATTTCCTGCTTCCAATGCTTGATCGCCAAACACGCACACACCTTAGACTCGCCCATGACATCCCCTCATGGGGTACCGAGTCATGGTCTTAGAGAAGCATTTGGTATTTTCAACCGCACTGAGACTGACGCCTTTTGATTGGTCAGCCGGTTAGCGCGGTCGATGCTAAGCAAGAAAACACACACACACACGCACGCAGGTGTCTTGATGCTGTCATGGTTAGCCAGCACTTCTGGCCACACCTCCTCGGAGAGGACATGCGGCTGCACCCACGGATGCAGGACAGGCTGGCGGCCTTCGGCAAGGCTTACTCCGTCATCAAGAACCCTCGTCTCCTCGTGTGGAAGAAGCAGGTACACTGCTGCTGTTGTATATACGGGTACAATGACGTCACTCCAACATGTGTGGGGAAGGCCACACAGTATTATAGTGTTTCTCGTCTTCCTTCTGCAGTGGTTGCGCCAATTTTTGTGTGTTCCGCTTGAACCGTCTTGTCTTTTATGTTTTGCAGCCGTGAACACTCTCGTTTCTCGAATATTGTGTTTCTTTCTTTTTTTTTCTCTGACGTCTCCTCTTTCACCTTTGTTTTCCTTAACTATGTTTTGTCGGGGGGTTTTCTCTCTCCCGTCTTGCCCTTCCCTTCCGTTGTTTTAACTCTCCCCCTGTCATGTTGGGTTGTCCCCGTCTATTACCCGCTCTTGCTCTCGTCCCGCGAACCCGAAGCTGGGTGTGGTGGAGCTGAACCTCGACTTCAACGGGGTCGAGAGAAGCTTCTCGGTCTCCCCGCTCCACGCCACGCTCATCATGCACTTCGAGGGCAAGGCGGAGGTGACGTGACGTTATTTCATGGCTTGGGGGGGGGGGGGGGGTACTCATAGTCGTGCATGCCGTAGTCGTTAGACCATTGACCTCGCATCCCGACAAAGCCGGGACGGAGCACGCCGGGTTTTCACCGGAACAGGGTCTCACATCACCAAGCGCGAAGCGCCGTGAGGTATTTGGCGAGTCGCATGAAGGGTGCGCTGCATCCTGCTAAGGGTGTTCGGGATCTTGTGCTTACTTCCTTGCGTACAAATGACAGCTGCGTATGAATTAATTTATTTTTTGGGGCTTTCACTTCCAGAGACAGTTATAAACCCTGTGTAAC